ACATTATTTAAAGATTATTTATTTTTATTATAAAATTATAAAGGTATAAAGGTAAGCTATTTATAATTATAAAGGAGTATTAATATAGCTTAAAAATTATATAATATTATTATAAAAGGGGAAATAGATAAAACTTAGCTTTAAATAAAGGGGCCTCTTTATAGTTAAATTATAAGTTAAACATTACTCCTTTATATTAAAGAACTTAAATAGATTTAGGATAGTTTATTAATATTATTTAGATTTATTAAAGCTATTTATACCTAAGATAGGCTATTTAAGGACCGTAAAGGACCTTACTCTTCCTTTACGCCAAAGGCTTCGAAATTAAGGAAATGATGCATTAATATATAGGATATAAAGGACTATAGAAATACTTTAATATAGGAAATATAGGATATAAAGGATTACGGGAATACTTTAATATAGGAGATATAGGATATAAAGAACTATAGGAGTACTTTAATATAAAAGGAGAATATAATATATAAAGAGGAAATAAAGGAAAGGCTATAATAATATATATTATTATTAAAGGAACTTAAAAAAGGAAGGAACTTTATAAGTTAACAGGAGATTAATAAGTATACTTATACCCTTAAAAAAGAAAGTTCCTATATATATATTTATTATAGGAAAGGTAGCTATCTTTAATAATATTAAGCTATTTAAAAGAAGTAAAGGTATATTAAAAGCTATTTAAGTTAAAATAACTTTATACCTTCCTTTTATATATAATTATAATATATTATTTTACTTTTATTATAAATTGGTATATATTTTATATTTACCGCTTAATTTTACCAATTTATTAAAGGTATAAATAATTATTTATATTAAGGGCCATTTATATCTTCTTATTTAATTTATGCTTAATTCTTTCTTCTTCTTTTATTTATACACTTAAACTTAAGCATCGTTAATTTATTTAAGTTAGCCTTAATGCTACCTATTAAAAGCCTTAATTTTAATTATCAATACCTTTATACCTTTATATTTTATTAATTACCTTTATTTATTCTTTTAACGCCTCGCCCGCCTCTTAATCATTAGCTATACTATTGCCTCTATTAAAAAGAACCCCTATTCCTTAGTCGAGAAGATTCCCCCCCCCCCCTTTCCTATTATGCTGCGTATCGTCAACTCTTAATTACATCCTTATATATAATATCTAGCTATAAAGCTTAACATCCAAGGTAATATAATAATTGCAGGATCTAACATTATTAGCTATTGGTTACTGTGGATCCATACCCTTCCAAATGGTCCGGTAAAGGCTATACGTTATTATATCACCCCTATTAACGGTAACTTTATAGGTAAAAACTTATATTTATATATTATATTAAATATATTAAATAAGCCTTATTATATAATTCTTTATATAATATATTATTACTTTAATGTTATAATTTATATTAAAAAGAAATTTTACTACTTTAAATAAAATCCTTTAAGTTAAAATACTTTATAAAAGTAAGTATAAATTAAGCTTAATACTTTATTTATTTATACTTAGGATAAATAGCTTTTCTTCCTCCCTTTTAATTAATTATTACTTAACATTAATATTAATATATACTTATAATATAATAAAGCTAATAGTAAATAGTATTTATATAATATAATATTAGCCTTTACTTTTATAAAGCTTAACTTATATATATAAGCTTACTTTAAAGCTTATTTAAATAAGCTTTATATAGAATTTTTATATTTATTTATTACTTTTAAAAGGTTAATATACTTTTACTACCTATAGGTTTATTATTATATTTATTTAAAAGTATATATTTATTTTAATATATAGGTCCTTATAAAAGAAATGCTTACGTTCCGTGGGTTTATTACCTATATTCCTAAGGTATTCTATAATGTTAAGAAAAATGGGAATGCTTTTTACAGCTATATTGCAATAGCTGTTATAGCTTATACAAGTATTATAACGGATAACCAGTTTTATATCTATAATGATAACCTATTTAAAAAGCTAATGTTAAACCTTTTTAATCTTATATAAGGAAATTAATTAATTATAGGTTACATTTTGCTTTATAATATATAGGGAATATAAATAGTAGTTTTCTTTAATATTAATATATGCTTTAAGTTTTAAGGTTTAAATAAATAGTTATATATATAATTTATTATAGAAATTATATAAGCCTTTAGGAATATTAAGCTTATTTATAATACTAATGCCTTTTATAAACGATAAAGCATTAAAGTTAATTAAGAATAATTAAATTAATTAATTAAAAAAGTTAATATATAATAGATAACCCTTTAGGATAAATAGTAACGTATTATTAAATATATACGTTTATTTTAACTTAATACTATATAACACCTTATTATTAATATTATACCTTCTTTTTAGCTTAATATTATATAGTATTTTACTATTAATATTATACCCTTATCTTAACTTAATATTATATAATTCCTTATTATTAACACTATACCTTTATTTTAATTTAATGTTATATAATCCATTACTATTAATATTATACCCTCCTTTCCGTTTAATGTTGCTTAATACTTTACTATTACTTTACCCCCTTTTTAATAAAAGAGTAAATAGTTATCCAAGTATAAAGCTTAGCTTAATCCTTTAACTTAATATATTATACCTTTTTATTTATATAATATTACCTTATAAAGTAAGTCCTTAACCTTTAATAAATAAGCTTTAAAGATTACTTATATTAATTAAAGTATATTAATAATATTTAATGCTTTTACCTTTTATACCGCTTACTTTAATTAATAATATATTACTATAGCTATATATAATTAAAGTAAAGAAAGATTATACTTTAATACCTTTATATATTAAGAATCGTTAAATGTTTACCTAATCCTTATATTATTAATACTATTTAATACTTAAAGAACTACGCTGCTACCTATAGTTTAAAATATATAATTAAATTAAAAGATGTATAGCTTAAAGTTCTATAGCTTTAAATAATGGAAAAAGTAAAGAAATAAGGAAGTTAAGGTAAATTAAAAGTAGAAAAAGTGTAAAGTAATTATAATTATATAAAAGGAAGAGTTTTCCCTAAGTATTAAAGGAATTACCTAGTTTAATATTAATGCCTTACCCTATATAACCTTTAATATTAAGAAGCTTAAAGGTATAAAAGATACATCCTACTTTAATTATTAAAAGAATTTCTTTTAAGTAAATAATTTTATTAAGCTGCTATATAAATATATATATTATAAGGAATGTATTAAGAAATAGCTAGAAATGTTTAGCTTATACCCGGAGTGTAAATATTGTATATTAGACCCCCTAATTAGCTTTATTAAAGCCCTACCTATTGCTTCGCTTAACAATGCGTCCGTTACTTAACCACCCTTACCTATTGCCTTCCCTAATAACACTATCACTCGATTACTGCTATCTATTGCCTTATTTAATAATACTATCATTTAACTAATACACTTTGCTACCTTCTTTAACGCTGCCGTTTACCTTAAGGAATTAAATACTTTAATAAATAAAACTATAATAACTATTTAAAACTAAATAAGGGCTTATAATTAAAAAATTAAAAACCTTATAAAACTATAGCTATTTATTAAGTAGTAAAAGGTAGTTAAAGCTTTTAATTAATAATATAAATATATTATTTAAAAGCTAATTTATTAAATTATTAAAAAGGAAAAGGATATTGTTCGTTAAGCTCGTAAAAATTAAGGAGAAAATTGGACCTATATAATAGCTTATATTAAAAAGAGCAGGGATACTTTTATTATATACCCTAAAATAGTTTAAATAATTATAACTAATATAAGGAATAATGAACTACATTATAAATAATTATACCCCTCCTTACTTATATAGTATAAAGGAAAGATAGTTTAATATAATAACTGCTATCTTAATATCTTACTATTTTTAAGGCACGGTTTTTACCTGCGGTGAGATAGAAGATTTGCTGCGCCGGTAAAGGCTCTGCAGCTTTGATTAATAATAATAAAAGTTTGTAACATGGGAGGGTTCGCTGCCATTGATTCTTCGCTTGAGTGTACGGTTGCAGACGTTGTATATACGAGCAAGCTTGCGAAGGGATAATTCTGGGTCGCGTTGCTTAGCTTGGATTGCTAGCTGCAAATCGGCTTCTCTAGATTTTTGAGGCATTGCATGGTTGCGGAGATATGTATAAGTAAAGTTGAAAGATGAGAAGGTGAAAATAAGTGCAACATGTGCTTGTGTGTAACGTTAGTTTATTTTTTAATTATAGTATAAATTATATAATGCTTTATATAAAACTAGTTAAACAATATAAAAGCGATAATTAAGACTTGCTCCGTTGTGTAATAATAATAAGTTAACGCATTAAAACAGTTAGGGTAGAACTATAACACCGGGAATTAAAAACAAACATTGAATCCCCAAAACAACAACCATAAAGCCATCGACTAGCATCCGCGAATCAGTCAAAACGGACTTCGGGAACTCAAGGGCGATTACGAAATCAAGTATTCGCCATAGAAGAAGCACGACAAGGGAGATTAGCACCCCGTGCTGGCAGCTGAGGCGGCCAAATAAGGGGACATCGAAGAAGGACCAGCGTCTCCAAACGCTAAAAAGCAACAGCGGAATCAATGTGAGGTTAAGAAGCGGAAGGAATATGCAGGATATGGCGGCCCTAGAAACGTATTGGTTCAGCATTATTCACAGTTACCGAGTAACCTGGTAGAGGTCCCGATGAGGCGATGATGACCTACCATATTATCAAGCTTCTCGGGCCTCCTTCGTTTTCGGTGTGAAGCCAGGTTCTAATGGTAGTGGCACTGGATATTATTTCTACGACGGTCGGGACCGTAAAAGAAACAACGCTAAGGCATAAATGATCCGTAATTGGGGCTTTGTATGGCATAAAGGTATTGGGGTGTAGCGCTGCTGGCGATTCTGGGTCTGAAGATGTCTGCGATAATTTTAGACATCAATACTTCAGGGTGAAGCGATGCAATCGACATGCGTACCGGAGAATCATTCAAACATGGCAAAGTTTCCGATGAAATGTGTAAAGGATCAACTGTTGCAGACGGTCGGCTTTTTGAAGACTCCTCACTGCTTTCCGCAATGCCCTAATTCCGGCTCAAAGAAATATTAGCTATATATAACCTTGAAGTATATAATACATAACTGAGGTTAGATGTGTCAGGTAAAGAAGTGCAGTCGCGTGTATTTCTGTGATGATTAGAACAGACCGTATTGATTGCGCGATAGACGGGTGGCCTCATTGCCGTCACGTCGGAAGTCCATCCATGTTGTCGCTTCCAAAGTGATAGGATAGGAGTGTCCTCGTCATTTTCGTTGTCGAAATCGGCTATTTGCAAGATAATAGGGCTCATTATCTCATTGAAATTCCGCTCCCCACTATCACTAGGGAAGATGAATCGGCACCCTAGGGATATTCCAACATCTAGGACGGATAATGCCAGCGATACTGCACTATAGACTACGAGGTCACTGCTCCCATAGTCCTTCGTGACAGTAAACACGCTGAAGACTATAGCCAGGGTGTCAACTGCAAGATATAGGAATGGGTAGAACCACAATCTTCTGCCTCGGAACGGGTCGACCCGACTGTCGTGACACCTCAAACAAACGCTTAATTCGTCGCAAAGCACGAGGGCTAGAGTACCAAAGACAATAAAGTAAACCGTCGTGCCAATGGGCAGCATTCGTACCCTCACTAATACGATGCCAAGCAAGATTTCCCTAGCAATATTGATGCCGGCTCTGGTAAAGCTTATGGTGGTAATGAGGACATATAGTATGTTGAAAATAGAGTGTTCATGGTCATCCATATTAAGCAACAATGCTCTGGGTTTACAACGTCTTAGAGTTCCGAGAAAAGCGAACTGGCAAGTTGAGTTAGAAAAAGTGTAAAGAACTGAGACAGAAAAATATTCAGCTGGAAACAACACAGAGACGTACTCGATATTTATAAGTCTTACTCATGTAGCCATGTAACCCCACCACCAATCGTTCACCCTTCGGTTCCGAATATACGCCGTGCCAATTGGGGTCGGTAAATGCAGGGTGGCAGTCGGCGCTAAGCCTCCCAATGAGGTGGCATGGATTATTGCATTAATAGAACAAGGGTACCTTTTACTTTATGATTGCACTTCTGGTCAGCTGCAGCATCACGCTAGGTAGCCATGAAGCACATCTCTACCTCCTTTGTATTCTCAACAGGGTCGCTAGAATTACGAGTGAATACGCTCTAGATTGCGAGCATGGCCCTATGCCAGCACTGTGATCAGTTCGATATCCAGTCTCTGCTCAAGCCAGGGTCGACTCTCAGGTTCAACTGTGTCGATGTCAAGGCCGCGAGTGACGCTGGCTGCGAGTTCTGTAGCTTCTTGTACCGTCGTGTTCATAGGTTATTGAACTCTGTAAGGGCACGGAAAGATTGGCGCGGGCCGCTTTATATCCAATTATCAACAGATGAAAAGGATTCAGCATCCAAGAAGAGAGCACACGAAGCACATACTGTCCAAGTAGATCGTCTCTATATTAGCGTTGTGCCGCGCGTGTATTTACATTCTCAGTGGCTCGACTCGCCGGACTGGCCGGTGTCACCCAACGCCAATGTTCTCGGTGTTATTGCAGATCCAGGTACACTTTCATAGCTGCCCCCAGAATGAACGGGTTGCTAATAGCTTGCTATGTTGTGCCTGCAGGGAGTCCAGCCGCGAGAAGCGGTGATGTCACAGGTCGCCTTCGAGACTTGAAGGAGAATAACTGCGCGGAAGTTATCTCTGAATGGCTGGCGAGCTGTCTCCAGCATCCCAAATGCAAGGAGACAGCATCGGGTACACAATTCGATGTCTGGAACCAACCCCTACCGACACGCTGTGTCCACATCGAACCCGATGGTAGTGGAAAAAAGCTTTTCCGTCTGCGTGAGACAGGAGGACAGCCTGGTACCTATGTGACACTGAGCCACAGATGGAACGGCCACACCACACTCGCTCAGACAACTACTAGCAACTACAACAGAAGACTCGCCGGCGACTTTGGCTTTCTTCCGGTGGTCTTCCTCGAAGCCATGGACATCGCATTGGCCCAGGGTATCCAGGACATCTGGATCGACTCGCTTTGCATCATACAAGTAGGTGATGGCGGAGTGGACTGGGGCAGAGAGGCTGTTCGTATGGCAGAGTATTACCAGCACTCCGTTTTTACGATCATGTGCGCCGTGAATGCCCCCTTCAATGGAATGTTCCGCCCCCAGCCACCTATGAACCTAATTCGTCTGCCTTACCGAGATGAGCAAGGTTGCCACAGCGGTTATTTTTTTGTCTTCGATCGCCACAGTACGCGAATTACCTACTTAAATTTTTCCGATGTATTCATGCGCGGGTGGGTTTTCCAAGAATGGCTACTTAGCCGTCGCCTCGTTAACTTCACCGATGTGGGCATCTTCTTCTCATGCCAGAGCTCTCAGCCCTTATACGAAGATCTCACCGAGGTCATGCTGGGACTTGAAGGAAATGCCTTTGAAGGCCTTAAACCCTTCTTCAATAACCGGGCGCCAGTTGGGGAGTTGTGGTATCGTCTGATAAATCGTTACTCGGGCTTGCACCTGACTAAGAAGGAAGACCGACTGATAGCTATTGCGGGAATAGGGGAGGAGTACCGCAGAATCCTGATTGTACAGAAAGAGACGGAGCTGAGATACGTCGCTGGGCTTTGGATGTGGGATATACACCGCGGCTTGCTTTGGCACCGCCTGAGACACCCACTCGGTACTCTGCTTTCGACACAGCCGACAGGGCCTTCGTGGTCTTGGACCTCCGCTACGTACGTAGTAGATTGGTATCACCCGAAATTAACCTTCACGTATCGCGCCAAGAAATGTACCATCGAGCCACTTGAAGAAACAGACAGGTATGTTGCTTTCTCTGGCTTTCTTGAAACAGTCTCTCATAAGACGACATCTCACTCACCAGTGACACTCTAGCAGTAAGCACCAACTGCGACTTGCTATCAAGGGTAAATTGCTCCCCGTCGTCGTGCGGCAGGAAATCCCCTGGGAAGGAGACAGTGCGCAAGTCATTCGGCCTATGACTGGCACCGCATTCCTATCCAAACCAGAATCTAACAAAGTACCTCTATTTCGGGCGGTGTGTTCTGTTCGAAAGCCCGAGCTTATCGCTGGATGGGGTTCGTTTGAGGGCGAGGGCATTCAAGCGAGGTTGGGGTCAAGCGCAGGCATCAGCGTGTTTGCCCTACTCGTTCAATCACGGTATCGGTTCAGTAACTCCGATGCTGCCCTTGGACGGGTAACGCCTATCCTTTCTATATACGACGTCTTATTCTTGGACCCCGTCGCTGATAGCGAGAGGAAATACTGCCGTGTGGGGGCTGGGTGTCTTTTTGAACGTGAACTATGTAGGGAATTCTCACCTCTGTTAGCAGCTGACATTGAATTAGTGTAGCTATTGGCAAAAGGAGAATCTTTGTCTCTCTTATGGGCCTGAGCAAAGAAGCTGTTTAACCTAGTATTCTAACCCTCAATTCAATTTTCGATTTATCCACCAACAATATTCCAGTGGAGAAAAGATGCACTAAGGTCAGGGGTTCACCGCAACACGTGGAGATGATCGCCAATCATGGCTTCTTTGAATGCCTTCTGAACAGGCCTCGCCCGCTTGTTTTCCCTGTGATGTTCTACAGAATGCCGACAAAGGAACGTATTGGGTGGCCATGTACGCACCCGGTGTGTCACAGTTCTCACTGCTGGTAGGTCCAGAATTGACTTATTGTTATTGCGCATTGCAGGTGTTGCCTAGAAGCACCAACAGACACACCAGCCTTTTGTGACGAAGAGTACCTTATCTACCCCACCATGGGTAGCGGGTAGGGGGTGGAGCCAAGGGATTATCGAGGCGAACGCGCGGGGCAGCTATTGCCGCTACCTACCTACCTACCTACTCACCTAACCTATAGGGCGTCTTTGGCGCGGCACGGACCGCGATTAGATTAGACTAACGCGGGGCAGGTTGAGCCATTCCTCCCCTCCCCCTCCTCCTTGTATTTAACGCCACCAGCCAACCCTTTCTACGCTACAACAACCATCTTGTAGCTAGATTCCACCAACCTCCCTTACTTGTATCCGCGTCCTCATCTGTATCTGCACCTCCCTTAACAACAAAGCCTCTTAAAAACATTCACGCACTCTTGGTCATCTCCTATCCTAAATCAATCTCCGCCACAAATTACCATGGCGTCCGAGAAGATCACCGCAAAGGATATGATGGCTGTTGCCAAGCTTTAGGAATGCTTTGAGATGAAGCCAATTGTACGTCGATGACTCGCATTCTCTCTCCAAGCCCCCTTCGCGGTAGCTAATGCAGTGTTAGGTCGACTGGGACAAGCTTGCTGCCCGAGCTGGCTTCGAAGACGGCGCCACCGCCAAAGCCCACTACGAACCACTTCTCAATCGCGACAATCCCAGCGATGCGCCTAGAAAGCAACAGACCCTACGCAACATTAAACCCAAGACTCTGGAGACTGAAGACGGGAATAAGCGGTACGCCCGCAAAAGCTTCGTGTCCCGCGACCCATACGACCTGGAGGATGGGGAGGTTTAAATGGTCAGCTCAATATGGCAGGCTAGGGTAGGGGAAGGGAGACAGAGGCCTCGCACAGATCTCACACAGATGCCCAAAATGGAAAATGCATATTCTACTTGTCGTATGGCAGATACACTGTAGTGATTGCAGACTATCATGACTGTCACAGCATGGAATCGATAGAAAACATACCTCGGAGCTATAGTCTGTTAGGAGCTTAAACAGCGCGGTCGATGTAGCTACGGGGGTTCACAGCTCTGAGATTTGCGACAGTCAACAGGTCTCTATTGTTTACGATCATTTTCCTCTAGATCTGCCATCTCTCATCTCGTTCAGGGTGAGTGATGTAATGCTTGCGGCTTCTTTCGCTTCGCTTCGAATGATGTTCAGGGTTTCTTGGATAGATCGGATGTCGGGCATGCTTTGTATCTTCGCAACTAGGGACAGCATTCCTAGAATCGTCGACTTGACTATATTGGCAGGGATGGGTTGATCCTGGGCTTGCTCTACGCAAAGGAGGGCGTCTCGAAGGTACTAGTTGATGTATGTGGCATGCTCGCGTGGTTCGGTCGGCCATGCCTTCGCCTGGGGCCATGAAGTCGCCATGGTGCCTTTTAGGCGCACTGGGCAATGCGCCGTACACTAGGCTATTCAATTGACCGTTCGGGATTTCGTTTACGCTCTTAATCGTTGTCAATTTCCAAAAATTTCGTTCTCGATATTGAAGTTGTTGTAGGCATGGCGTATTCGCCGCATGTTCGGCAGCGGCGGATACCCAAGACTATGCAAGGCGGCCCAACGGTCTTGATCAACATATTCCCATCGCAACCACTGCAACCCATGGGCTTTGTAGCCAATTACGTGGAAACCTCTATACCAGTTGGTGGTGCTTACAACCTCACTGGTATGATCTGGAATGAATTTATTCCTCAATATACCATACTTCACTATGGTATATTGTAAAGGAGGGGAACAAGGCTAAAAGATATAGCAAAATCCTGCTCAATTAAACGATCAAGCAGCATTAACTTCTTAGCATTTTAATACTTATAAGCCTTAATTAGCCTAATTATAAAATATATACCCAACGCTTTTGTTTACCTAAATTATATAATATATATTTAAAGTATTATTTAGCCTATTAAATCCTCTATCCAAAACCTGGATTACTTTTTTAAAGGCTTAACTATTATTATCTATAACAAACCTCCTTAATTAAAAACCTATAACGCATAATATCTACAGCTTTTTAAAACCTTTTACAAATTCCCGCCATATTATATACTAGCTTTTATTTATTTTTAAATATAGGGGACCCTAATCTATCGTATAAAAGTTAGATTTCTAGATATATAAAAGTTATATAAATTTAGCTTAATATATTAACCAGCTTAAATTAAGAAGAATTATAACAGCTTTTTAAAGCTAAAGATAACTTAAATAAATTCCTTTTATTTAAATTAATATACCCTTTTAATAAGCTTTAAAAAAACCTATAAAGTAAAGGGAATAATATTAAAACCTTTTATACCTATATAGCTTTTCCCATTTAGCTTACTTTTTAATAACTCATTATATAAAGATTTAAAGCCAGGCTATTTAGCTTTATAAATATTTCCTAAACGGTTAATTTAACTTAATTGTATAAAACTTATTACATTTTAGTTAACAAATTAAAGCAGCATAGCATCATTAGTAAACAGAGGTGGATTAGCTAATAAGGCACAAACCTTAACCATATATAACTTAGAAAGGAACTGAAAGGGTAAGCTACTAATCTTCCCTAATCCATACTCCATACTATGCTTAAACTAATAGGAACATAGGTATTGTCACAAGTATACAAATACAGCCGGGGCTATGTTTAATAGGAAGCATCTTTTGATTCTAATATTCCTTATGCGTAACCAGGAGGTAGTATGGAGCGTAGATTGCCAAGTACAGGGTCTACTTTTTAAATACACGGATATACACTTACGAAATGCTTTATACCGAACAGCTTCGCAGTAATTCCAAAGGTGCTAAGCTTAAATAGTACTAAAGGTAAACATAAATAGGTATACCCGCCGTTTTAAATGGTAGTTAGGCGCTCCCTATTAGGTTAGCGCAAATGGTTAATCCTTTTACCATTACCCCAATAGCCACACGCAATCCTTTAACGCCACAACCGGTGCATAGTATTAGGTGACACCTAACGGAAGTGTGTAGGATACATAGGGCCTCTGGTAATTTATATGGGAGTAGCCGAAATGATCCGTGGTATAAACACGGCTGTCTGCATTTAACTGAGTCGCACTGTTTGTCTTATGTGGTCTGTTTCTCCAAATACTTATTAAATATGCACTGCTCTTATACGACTATTTCATCACACTTCATCTTTTCTTCGATTTGTGCATGTCCAGTTGAACAATGGACCTTAAACGTGAATAAAGTATCAAGGTACTAACTGTATCCCCAATATAGATTGATGTGGTTAAACTCTGGTCGTTAAATAATAGGAATTTCGCTTAAGCATATACTATATTAAAGCATAAGCTAAACAGATTTATAATAATAGATATATATTCCGCCTAAAGCTGCTAACCTCCCCGATTACCAATTGGATCACATCTTAGGTACCTTGATTTATTTGATCTTAACTTAAACCTTTACTTCTTAAATAATTCCTTCTACTTATTATAATTTTAAAAGAGAGGAATCCTTTAAAGCTTAAAGAATATTAAAATAAAATTAAAAAGTATAAATAGTTTAGCTTTCTTTAAGGTAATATTCTTCCGCATTATTATAAAGAAACAATTAATAATAGCTATACTTCTACTATTATATTAAAGTTTATTAAAGGTATACTATTATATTAATTTATATATAAGGATCTTTTTAATTAAGATATCCTTATAATATACTATTAAAAAATAATATTAAATAAGCTTTAAAATAATAATATCCTTAACCTATAACTATTATTAACATTATAGTATATATATACTTAATTTATATAAAATAGTATTATATATAGGGATCTTAAATTATATAACTTCATTTATATTAAATAAAGTATTATCGTAATTAACCTTAAATTCTTATATCTTCTACCCCATAATATTACAAATAAGCATAAACTAGTTAGTCTAATTAACGAAATCGGAGCGACCATTAATATCGAGTCGCTTCTACAGTCCAAGCCACATCTTCCTTAAGCATCATACATGATAGGAGGCAGATCTAGGCTGACGGACAACAATTGAAGCATTACCTTGTATCAGCTGTTCCCGTTCATGCCCCAGGTGAAACGGTTGCCAAATCACACCAGGCTAGTATTTTTGGGCCTTGGTTGGGGATGTACGAAGCCGAAAAACATACCACCAAGTTTCTCAACTTCCTGTTTTGTCTTTAATACCTGCTCGTCAAAATTTATATTGGAGAATTCAATTCTTAGTAATGCGTTGCTTCTTTCGTCTTAGTTGTATTATAAATGTAATGTGAGTTTAACTCGAGACGCCTCACTAAACTGCCACAATTTTAGCAACTATGAAAACCACCGGATTAGGTGGCCATAATCGGACACCTAGCACCCATCATGTTCTTAAACGCAAGGCCGTAAGCCCAGCACCCCCGCTGTCTAAGCTTCGAAGATCATTTGGTCTGATAAGGTTGTTTATCGAGATGTCCCCATGGAGAAAGTGAGCCTTGTATAGAGACTCGTGTCCTTCAATACATCCCTTAAGTAAGGCCACTCGAGAACTTGCCTCGTAAATAGCAACCTTCCTAAATGGCCAGTAATAAGTTGAAATAATCGGTACAAGTTTCCAGCGTTCTCATGGCAGGGCTAAACACTGGATGCCGCGCATTCTCCACGAGATTTTCGAGATTGAACCGTGAGAGCATTACGTAGCAGGTCTTGAAGTGTTGGTGAGTGAGCGCTACCAATGTAGTCGAGTTTGCATACTTGGATGCCAACCGGAGGGCAGAGAAGCCTTAGGCGTTTAGACAGTCCAATATAGTAGACGGCACCTCGTTCAGAAGCTGAACAAGTCCTACCAATGCATCTAAGAGGAGACTTCAAATGCTAGGCTTGTAACGGTACTAACCAACCAAAAATATTAGACTCTATAATAGGGGAAGTGGATAAAAAGTTAAACCCACTCCTCGTAGATCGGACAGATCTAACAATAGTCTCGGCCGATACATCTCGGCTTTTCATCCACCCCTTTAAAGTGCCTCTAGGCCATCTTTGTGCTTAAGAATCTTATTATCGCATTTGATTACTTCGACTTTAACTTAATAGCGGTTTTATAAATACTTAATTAACCTTTTAAAGGCGGCAATTATACTCTTAGTTTATTTATTCTTAAAGAAATAATCTTAAGTATATTTTAAATACCTATTTATAGTAATTATTATAAAGCTATTAAAGTATATAATCTTTTTAAAATTATAGAAATCTATTACAATTTATATTCCAGGCTTATTAAGCTTTATTTATTTAGTTTATTTAATTTAATACCGTAGTTTAGCTTAAGCGTAAGTATTATAATTAATTATAGCTATCCTAGCCTTTAAGTCCTTTTTAATTTTAGCTCTTAAAAACTTTTATATTAGGTGCTTTAAAGAGTTAAGGCTAATATATCCTAATTAAAGGTACTATTTTAAAATATCTATATAGTTTAACTTCCTTTTTATATAGGTGTTAAATTGCTTTTTATATAAATAAAATGCTTATTTAATTAATAATAAAGGGAGGTATTTTAATATAAATTAATTAAATTATTTTTATATTTAATAAATAATCCTATTATCTTTTTACTTTTAAAATATTAAAAGTTTAAGCTTTATATTCTATTAATAGCTACTTTATTAAAATTTTTAAGGAAATAATATTAGTTTAAAAGTCCTTATAATAGGTTATATTTAATAATTATATAATTTTTAAGCCTTTAAATCCTTAACTGTTAATATTTACCTTTTTATAATTTTAAACCTGATCGTCCTTATCGGTTTCTTTATATTCGTTGGTACTATAGGTAGGGAATGCTCCTTTAAGTGTCCGGCTACTCTTTAAAGGTGATAAGCATGTTAAGGCATATTGCCTTAGTGCTGCTGCTATATCGATATAGGTTAGTTGCTCTGCTTGGATTGCAGTCTGGTTAACCATTCTGTAGCTAGTGGTCCAATCTGGGATCACTCCTTTAAATGTGTATTCCAGGTCAGAAACTAGGGTTTCTGAAGACTCAAGCTCTACGAGTCCTTTCTCGATTCCTTTGCCCAGTTGTTTACCCATACTGATAGGTTTGGGACTTTGGTTAAGGGCTTGGATACCATTGCCCTATATTGCGCTCTTGTTTCCCTTTTAATACTTGCTTGAGCAGCAGCGCCGATCTTGCAGATGTTGTTGTACCACTGGCGAATCTCTTCCTTAGGCTTTAGGAACGCTAGCCTATAGTTTGGGGCAATAGTATCCTGCATCCATGAGGTCATTTCCTTGACGTTCCGTCTGTGTTCCATGTATTTCTTATCCACTTGCGTATATATGTTCCAGTCTGATGTAAAGGAGGCCTTTCCTTCGGTCGTGAGGTCCACCAGCGTCAAAGCTTCGTCGGTATTGGCCCTGGTAGGGTAGTCGTAATATCGTGGTGGTTGTGGTTCTGTTGGCCAGGCCTTTCTGTTCTTGGGGTCTAGGTATTCCCATAGGTCTAGGGACCTTGCCTTGGCTATACAGTCGCGTTCCCATTGATCGAAGTCTTCTGGCTTGGCGAAGACTGTAATCGATGAGGGGCTGGGTTTTGGAGACCAGGAGCGACTTCCTAGGAAGTCGGCACGACTGAGAGAATGACAGGCTAGCGATGGAACGTGGGCGCTGGGAAATGACAAGACATGACATGCTACATCACGATTTTATGCAGTCTAGGGAGAAGATATCTAGCCTGTCTACCTATCCTCCCCCTTATCTATGTTTTTTACGAGCGAACAGCTAGAAAAAAATTCAGAACTTGTTAGTCAACCCTCTGCCTACAATGACGATAAAGACTACATGCAGGTGGATTGCTTACGGTAGTACACTTCGAGTCGAACATCTTACCCCCGACCGGACGGCGGACGAGTACAAGACTGGTGGAGAGTCACTAGATCCTGGCGTAGCACAGGGGGGAGCTCTTTTACTACATCTTCCGGTACTTCTTACAGAGTTTATGAATACGAAGACGTTAGTTTTTTTTTTTTTTTTTTTTTGCAGCGGTCAGGCCGATGCAATTGCTCTTAAGAAGGCTTGAGGGCAAAGGGCTACTCTGTACCTCGAAGCAAATTTATGACGTCTCTAAGGCAGTAATATTCAAGAAGAGATGAGGCTTGTAGTCCCCGGAGATATACTTCTGATTAAGAGTACGGGACCCTTGAGTTCCTCAAAGCATACAAGCAGTACTACTCTAAGCATATAGCTCAGCACTTGTATTTACGCCAGAGAAAAGCATTGTTCCGTAACAGGAGACTGGCCTCCAAGGTTTCCGCCAATGCCTTTTCGGAACGGCCTTGAGAGCTTGAGAAGCAAGGCGCTTGCCTTGTGATAAAAGGTGAAAGGAAACATTGAGCCTGACACAAGGAATTATCTTGTGAAGTGTAGGTATTGCGTAATGGCTTTAGGGTGATAGATATAGGCGCGCTTGGGAAGTATATGTTTGAAGGGAAAGAAAAAGATGAAAACGTAGGTAGAGGTACTGAGGAACGAGTTTTATAGACGGTCGGGAGTTGTTCGCCAGGTGACTGCAGGGGCTGGTGGCGTGTGCATCTGACGAATTTTAGGGGGGGGGGTTCTAATACGCCATGCACGGGCACTAGGTTTCAGCTTAGACCCTGCTGTTTCGCGTCTTCTCACCTTTAACATCTAATTATTCAATTAATATCTTCCTCAGGAAGCGTTGTCAAGTAAATCTTCATGGCTATTGACTACTTAAAATGGGACAACATAGACACGAATTCAGAACTAGAAATTTCGCTTCCGTCAGTTCCGACGCCACAAGCTCCCACTTCGGGGAAGGAGGAGGTATGCCGAAACGTTTGTATAATAGACAAGCATTTGAAGAGTGGTGGAAAACCTATTGTAAAGATTAGAAGGAGCTTTGGCCGGGGACCGGAGGCGAGAATGATCCGGATGATTAGTGGGCGGTGAAGTCGCCTTATGAGGTGTAACGTCTCTCGCGCTGTCCTATGCGAAGATTTACTGACTTTTAAATAAACCTCTTATTTCTGCTGCCAGGTATGTCAACCTCTATATAGCATTAATTATGCTTTGGTCTGGCTTATTTCCGATGAAATTTTGGGTCGTACTGGACTAAGAAGCTTGATGCCTTGTAGTGTTCTGCATTTGGATAGTTGTACATAGAGGCTGGTAAAGTCGCATTTCGAAGGCTGACCATTCGTCATACGGTGTCCTCGCAGCTCCAAGAGCACGTCCTCAAACGTCCTGCCTTGAGCTTTATAGTCAGTAAGGACAAATGCCGGGACAACAGGCAACCCCCGCCGAGAGCATTTCCCCGACAGGAACCTGTAGTTAGAGTTGGTTGGATCGAGGGTATGCGTTATGGGCCGGATGAGTACGGTGCCTGTCGGGAGGGCTGGGATAGCTAAGCCCTTTGTCTCTTGCGACTCTAACAGTATACCTAGTGGTGGACCAAAGTGGATGGTAACGTCGTCCGCAAGATGACAGGAGATCGGGCCCTGGCGGTCCCTCGAAAACCTTTCGGAACGAATCTAGTGGCTCTTCGATTTTGGCAAGGGCTTGCTCTTCTATACGTTAATGTTTGAGGTCATCTCCCAATAGGGCCTACACACGATTGGGGGGCTCTTGGCAGGTGATTATTACAGGCGCTGGGGGCGCCTGCGTGTGACCAGTTTTTTGCTTTTTGGGGTTTGAGACGCTGCGCACAGGCACTGGCTTACCCCGCGTTCGATGGCATTGCAGTTTATTAACATCGGTTTGTGACCTCATTTCTTTATTTTTTTTTAATCATCCGACTCTTCCTCAGGTCATAACAGCACGCTTCATTTACTGTAACCACCGCTGTGAGTTTATCACATGATCTATGTGTTTTGAGCCTAACCGAACGGAAAAACCATTGACACCCGTTACAACTCTTAAGGCTATTTGAAGCATCGGCATAATAGACAACATTCAAAATAGAGCAGAGACCAGAGTAAACGCAGTCATGTGGGGGATTCCTCTTTTCTTGCTGAAGAGTTCTTGCTAACTTTCGCATCAGGGCATCCCATCGAGAACACCCTGACAGACTCACGCAGTCGGGCAAAGAAGCAACATGTACCGAGAACGAGCTGGCCCGACAGATCGAAAGTGCCAATGATACTAAGAACGACGGGGAGAACAACTTCGTATTCGATTGCATTACTTCACAATCTTTCGGTGACTATCTCGGAGATACTGATACAGACATTGAAAATTCCAATCTCCCGCCTACTCGACGCTGGGTCTGGTACTGCAAGCTTCGCGCATGTCCTGATTACTACTCCGCCTGGTCTTGCAAGACCAATTTCCTGCTTCACTTATACGAAACGCCAGTCCACCGCGAGGATGCTACTACAAGTACACGGAAGGGCCGACGTCAGTTAGCAAAGGCTTGGCGGGAGGAAACTGCGTTTGACCTTAGCGAGCCGAAGAAGACGCCACCCGAGGAGAGTAATGGGGAGGAATACAGAGAGAGTGCAGAGACTTGATACCCTAAAGATTGAATGGATGCTATATGCTAGTTAATTAGTCCCTTTTGGGCTTTACGGAGGACATTTAATGTTCATTTATACGTTGCAGATCCTGAAAAAAAAAGCAAAATAAGAAAAAGAATTCGTCATTGTCTGGAAAGGTCTTTAGTTGATAAATAGTTCGTGCGATGTTTTAGGGCAGCACCGCAAAAGACTTTACGGAGTAGAACTGAGCACCAGACTGATACAGACTTCACAGAGTCCAAGTCAGACAAACGAGATGCATCTGCTCTATCAGCTGAATATGAAGTGCAGATCTGAGTGTGTTTAATTAAGGGCAAAGTCTAGGTGGCCATGTAGCCATGACGTAAGCGTGACGGATTCAGACAGTAGCTCACAGGCAATTGTATTCAGGAAACGCATGCCGAGATTCCAGATCAGCTGCAGTGTCAAGTATCTTTCGTACGATAACAAAATTGTGTTTTTTTGATAGCTTTACTTACTTGCATATTGCCCCGCCTTCTATGACTCGAACATCCCAAACGCCTTTTCCAAATGTTATTGGGATACTTGCTCGCAATGATGAAGCCTCCAGCCCCAAGCTTTCGACCGGCACTTCAAGCCTCTGGCAAGGATACTGGGGTAAGTCGAATCCTATATAAGCCTTCGAGTAATAATAGGGGCCAGATACTATACCGGTTTTTCCTATAGGGGTAATGTAGCAATGGAGCTATATATTATTATTTATATTAAGTAGAGGAATAAATAGCTAAGAATAACCTTTAATTTATCTATAATTTTAAATTATTAATAAACATTTAATATAGGAGCTTAATAGGGTTTTATATTATTATTAATAAGTTTTATAAATTAACTCCTACTTTTTAAATAGTATTATTATTAAAGTATTAAGTAATATCCTTATTTACTTTAATTTAAATACTTAAGTTTTAAAAGTATATATATATATATATTATATACCCGTTATACTGCTTATATAGCGCGGTCCTTTTACTTATATATCTATAAGTAAAACTATATAATAGTTAAATAAAAACCCTATATAACCTTTAACTATTACCTTATTACTTTTTAACCCTATATAAGCTAATATATATTATTTAACTATATAGTAAAAAGAGGGAAAAGAAAGCTTGAATTCTTTTACCTTCTTTATATTCCTTAGTTATTTAAAAAGGAAAGGAAGGCCTCCTCCCTTTTTTTGGGGACTTTTAAGGGGGCCCTTTTAGCCTTTTTATTTAGGTTCTTTTTTCTTCATATTCCCCCTTTTTTACTTCTTTTAATCCCCTTAGCCTTATTATATATAGTTATCCTTTTAATGCTTAATAGCTATTTTATAATTGCTTTTATTTTTATTAAGTCCTTTATTATTATTTATAGGTTTTTATTAATCTATAGCTATATTTTAATTAGCTTTTTAATTAAAGTTCTTCTTTTATCTTTTAATAATTTATATTATAGGATTATATATTATAAAATTTCTTTACCCTTTATATATTTATAAAAGAAGGTTAAGAATTTAAAAACCCTTTTTTTATATAAAAAGGCTTTAAATCTTATTTTTCCGGTTTATATTTATATTATTAAGGCTACTTTATACTTTAAAAATTTATAAAACTTTTATAATGCCCTTTTCCTATTAAGCTCCTACTTTATTATTATAAGGTAGCTATATTTTATTTTAATATAGCTTTATTTCTTTTTCTATTTTTTAATTAAAGTATTATTTAGTTTTTTCCCTTTTACCTATTTATTTTATTAATAGTTTAGGTTTATAATTAGGTTACTTTATAATTAATTCTTTATATTATTTATAGGTTTCCCTTTAATTTACCTTTTAACCTATTATTTTTAAAATGTTTATATAAATTAGTTAACCTTTATTATAGCTTTTATTAATACTTTATAATATATTAAGTTTTTTAATTAACTTTTATTTATTATTACTTTATTATTTAAATATAGGTTAATAGGGAATATATTTAATTTTATTTTAAATTAATATATTAATATAGCTTTAAAAGCCTTTATAATATATTTAATATAAATATTTTAAATATCTTTAAAAAAGTTAATTATACCTTTTAATTTATTTTTTTTAAATTATTTATATTATATAACTATTTTATATATTAAAATGCTTTATATTATTATAAAATAAATTTATTTAATTTTTATTATATTATTACTTTATATTAAGTTTTATAGTTTAATTATTATATATATTTAAATATTTAACTTCTTTTTAAATTTAACAAAGTATTATTTTTATTTAAAGTTCTTATTTATTTATACTTTTAAAAACTTTATATTATTTATTAATTATATTATTATTTATTTAAGTTTAACTTTTTATTTAAATATTTTTTAGCTTTTAAAGAAATATATAAATTTGCTTTTTTAAAGGGTAAATTTTATTTTATACCTTAATACTTAAATTTTATATATTTATTATATTACTTTTAAAACTTTATAATTTTATTTTATTTAAAGGTTAATTATAAAAAGGTTTATATTATTTATAAACCTTATTATAATTATCTTTTAATATATTATAAGGTTATTATATAATATTAATATATATAGGAAAAATAATAAAGGTAAAAGGGAGGAGCTTTAAAGGACCTTTATTTTAAAGGGGATTAGTTAAAAAGCTATACTATTAAAATAAAGTTATATTAATCTTTTAAAAATAAACGAATAAACCTATAATATTATTTATAATAAGTATTCTTTTTATTAAAGGATATAGTATTCCTATAATTAAAAGCTACTTTAATTACCCTTAATATTAATTTAATTATTATATTTATTAATTTATCCTTTTTATTTCTTATTTAGCTATTTAATAATAATCCCTTCTTTTTAATTATTTTTATTAATTTATAATTTAATTTCTTTTTTAAAACCTTTTTTAATATATTAATAAATATAATTAAATATTAACTTTTTAACGTTCTTTTAATTTTTTTTTAGCTTTTTTAACTTTAGGATTATTATTACTTTTATTTATTAAAATTTAATTAAATAATACTTTAAAGTAAAGTTAATGGAATATAGGGTAGTTAATTATTTAATTAAAGCTAATTTATATACTTTTAAAAAACTATTAAATAATAGGTTCCCCTTTAATACTTTTTATAAGGCTAACCTTTAAATTATTTTTATAATATCCTTCTTTTTTATTACGGTATTTATTTTAAACTATTAATGTTTATTATAGGTAAAGTTTTTATTTAAAATATTTAATAAGTTTACTAGTAATATTAAAAAGAAGTATTTTATTAATAGGGTTATTTTTCCTTTAAAAGTATTTATTATATTAAGGTTACCTTTAATTTTAAATAATAGTAATATAATTATAATTTTAAGTATTAATTTATAGGTAAACCTTATTTATTTAATTAAGCTTTAAAGTATTTTTAAATTTTTAAATACCTTTATTAAAGCCTTTTTTTAATTATACTTTTATATTTTTATTACTTCTTTATTAAGTAGCCGTTCCTTTTTTTTAAGGGTAGTTTAAGCTATTATAGTTCTTTTATTTTAGAAATAACGGTAAGCTTTTTTAGCTTTTTTTTTCTACTACTATTACCTTTAATAACTATTATATAGGGGCCTTTTATTCTATCCTTAAGGTTTTTTTAAGTATAAATTTATTTATTATTTTTATAAACTATAAAGTAAATATATTAAAAGCTTTATTAAATTTACTATTAATTTATAGGACTTTTATTTTAATAATATTTATTAAAGCCTTTATTATAGCACTTTTTTTATTTAGTTTTAACTAATTTTATTTTTTTATTTAAAAATAATATCCTTATAGGATTATTTTTAAAGCTATTATAAGTTTTATTACTATATAGTTTAATTTTAACTATTTTAAATTTCCTTTATATATTATTATTAAATTATTATTTATTTATATTAAGTTTATTATTAAATCCTTTTAACCCTTTTTTAATTTTATTATTTTCCTTTATAATATAATTAATATAAGATCTTATTATATTATAAACTTTAAAAGTTCTTTAACCTTTTAGCTTTTATAATTTAATAGGTCTTAAAATAAGTAATAAAGGTTAAAATTTCCTATAAATAGGTATTTTTCTAATATCTTTCCTTTTTTTTTTATTTCCTATATTAAGCTTTATTATTTAATTCCCTTTTAATTTAAAAAGTATATTAATTAAATTATTATTATTAAATTATTACTATTTATTATTATATTTATTTAATCCTTTTTAATTTCCCTTTTTAATAATTTTATTATTATTCTTTTATTAATATATAATATAGCCCTACCCTTTTCCTATATAAGTTAATAATTATAGTTTTTTAAATAATAAATATTGCTATATTTATTAATTAAAGGTTTTTATATTCCTATATAGTTAAAGTTAATATTTAAAAGTAAATTTATTATATTAATTTTTAATTCTATAATGTTTTAAAAGGTTATATTATATATTATTAAATAAATAATAAGGTTAATTTTCCTATATTATTATTAACTTATAACTTTTTTATTAATAATTTATTATTGTTAAGTTTAATAAAGGGTAATGTTAAAAGGGCTTTAAAGTTACTTACTTTTTTATTTATAACTTTTACTTCCTTTTTATTTTAAAAGCTTTTTAATTATAATATATATATTACTTTTATTTTATTTTTTTATTTTATTTACCTTTTATATTTCTTATTTTAAATTATATAAGCTTTATTATAATTTATATACTTTTTTTTCTTATTAGCTTTTTTTATTAAATATTTTTTTTTCTTTTTAATATTTTAATATTATATAAAGGCTATACTTTAAGTCCTTCCTATAATATTTTATAATATATTTATATTTATAATAATTAAAGCATTATATAATCCTTAATTTTAATAAAAAAAGGTTTATAATTAAAAAGTTAAACCTTTTATAAAAAGCTACTATTATATATTAATTTTATTATTATTATTATTATATACCTATTATACTACTTATATAGTATAGTTCTTTTATTTATATAGCTATAAGTAAAACCGTATAATAGTTAAATAAAAACCTTATATAACCTTTAACTATTATTTCGCTGCTTTTTAACCCTATATAAATTAATATATATTATTTAACTATATAATAGGAAAAGGGAAAATAAAA